CATTTTATTTTATTTTATTTCTTGTATGAATCTATTTATCTCGTCTCGTAATTCTTTTACTTAAATAAATCCCTAATAAGCACATTTCCTCAATCTCCTAAGCTCTTTATGACGCTGTTATGAAGAAACTTAAAAATATAATTTTCATATCAAATTCCTTAATAAAGATAAGGAAGGGTAAATATTAATATCTTATATAGCCAAAATGAATCTTCTCTTGGGAAGATACTTACAAATTAAGCATTTAGTGTCAATAATCAATATATTTTAGGCGTTTAGCTTTTTAATGTTTTTCATACTTTCGATTCTTTGAATTTTAAAATATTGTATGCAGACGTGGAGTTTCAATATAATATTTTCATGCGGATCAAGTCATGGGCGCAGTTAGTGATTTCATAACTTTCTTTTACATCGTCGTTTAAAAAAGTCGCTGTGTCAAAGAGGTCAGTTTAAAAACGGCCTAGGAAAATTCGATTTCACTAAATCTTTTAAAGCATTATTTAAGAAAAATAATACATTATGATCTGCGTATTGGAACGTTCTTTATTGGCCTTTAACCTTTGACATTGAATGAAATTGAGTGCCAATTGAAGGTCAAGGGGTGAGCCCAGAGAATATAACGCGCAATTTTCGGTTCTTCTCTTCCATTATATTGTCCTATCGGTTTACTTATAATAAGGCTCTGGAAAAATACAATTTGTTTCTCGCGGGACTTTTCACAAAAATGATAACTGAATTAAACTTAGAAGTTACCTTTACTAAGTATTTAACATTCGGAATGGATAGACGCCAGATAGACGCGCCGTAATGCGTTACATAACGTAAGGTCAATAAAGAGGTAGTAGCTGTAACGGTTTACTGCTAGGAACAACTTTCAATGTTTTGGTCAAACGTGGTTTTAATTTATTACAAATCCAATAATCACTATCGCATGTAGTTTATATTGGTAGTACATATTTAACAAAAACAATTTTGACGGTTTAAAATGCGAAATTGTTCTGACTCCTTTACAGCAGTCGTTGTCATGGTTTAAACCCGTTAAAGTGATTTAATTTAAATCGGAATTCTAAACTGCCTAATCTTATCATATTGTCTTACGTAGCTGTGTCTGTGATGTGATTTTTCTGTGACAGAACCATTTCACACATAAATAAAAAAATAACAAAACTTTTTATTGTTTTCCAGAATGGTATATTTGGTCTTATTATGTATATTATATCAGGTCACTCATATACTTCTAATATGCTAATAACATAAAATATATAATAGTATTTAGGTACCCTAAAAGCACAATACAATGGCCGCCAGTTTGACTATAGTATCAGGGAGTAAATCACTCGTTTATAGTGTAACAACACATCGTTATCATACTGACATGCCGTCTGTTATGAATAGATAACGAAACAATTTAATATTAATACAATGCTAAATTGCGAGTATTGCGAAATTAAATAATTATACACTCGTAACTTTTTCGGGATGGCCTAGCACCTAGCTAGCTAGGTGCTCTAAAAGTAGCGATGTATTACAGCTGATAATCAACGGGCCGTGGATTCTATTACTATTGGATCCAACATGTTTATAGATTTATAAATATTTAAAAACGAGTATAAAGTCAAGTCATAATTTTAACTGACCTAAAGTCGAGAGATAAAAATTCCGAAAAGTTTTAATTCGTGTTTACGTTTAAGTCTGTGGATTTCCAAATGTCCAAATCCAAAAGGTCTATAACGCTATTAAATTAGATGTAATTGGTCTGTGTATCAAGTGCTTGTCTGTCCTCTGTCAAAAAAATAAATAAATAAAAGGCAATCCGTGTAGAGTATTACGAAAACGGTAAAAAAATATGTATGAATTAATTATCTAAAAAACGACCGTGATGATATATCTCTATCTTTTAATATTAACTCGCAAGAACAGCGGGACGCGGGCGACGTTGTGGGTAACAGCTATCATTTATAAAGATGAGGAGGTTTGCAAAAACAAATTTTGAAGCGCAAAATAACAATTCCACGCGGGCGAAGTCGCGGGCAATGCTAGTAATTCATCAATAACGCGGAGTTAGCCTTCAAACCATTAAATATCACTTAAGTGGGTTGTGTTTGAATTTTTAAACAATGGTGTCGAAACCGGGTCAGTATATGTTTAGACTACTCCGATTCTGTCCCAATTAAATGGAAATAGATCTGCCAGTGTATCATTGAAAGAAAATTTAAAGAACTTAACCCAGGACATATTACAACAAAAGCAAATTATAGAACAATATTTGCAAAATTACACGCGTATTATTAAATCAAATATTGCTGTAACCTTGAAGTTAATATGTTTAATTAGTTTATAACCTTGATAGTAATCTGTCTTAACATATTGTCACCAAATACAAAAGCAAATTCACAAGTGATGATGATTCTTAGATTGTCTAAAATTGACACGCTGACGTAGCGACTTCGTCCGCGAGAGTCGTTACGTTTGGGCATTTAAATTCGTTTTCCCCCTTCATCTGTATAAATTAATAATTAATTAAATTTTTTTATTATTTTATATATTATTAAATTTAATTAAATATTTTAATTAATTAAAAAATTAATTAAAATAAATAATAATTAATCTGTTACCCACGACGTCGTGACATATAGCGTCGCGGACTCGTTTTAGATAATTTAAAAAGGAATTATTCTTTCATACCTATTTTTTTGGGTATCTTGAACCGTTTTTGCAACGTACGCTTCGGAAACCCATAATGATGATTAATTTTCCCAATTTTGTTCACATTTCTCGCTGTATCTTCCCTTGTATTAGTCACAGGGCGATATTGTATAGCCTATATAGCTTTCTCTGATAAATGCTCTAGCATTCACAAAAATGATTTTTCAATTCGAACCAGTAGTTACTCAGATTAGTGCGTTCAAACAAACTCTTCGGCTTTATATATTAGTATTATAAGGTAGAATGATAAAGATATTGATCGAATTGTAGAACAAAACCCGCGACGTAGGACTCGTTATGTAATTATTGTCTTATTACATCAACTGACGTATTGAAACTACTCAAATTACAAATACTAGTGTATCATGCTATTCTAATTTCCGCCTTTTGCATACAATTTGCTAATCATTAAGTAGTAAATAAAAATCAGATTTTCACGACAAAACCACGAATTTAAAATCTTCTTTAACAGTCTGTTTACATTGAATCAATATAACATTTTTAACGGTTTAAAATTTCTAGCTTTAACAACAGGCATTGTGATCTGTGCTTTTTTTTAAGAAACACAATTTTCAATAAATTCGTATAAGTTGTTTTTCGCTCGTACCAATTTTTTTATGATTTTTTTTATATTTTGTTGTTGCATAATAAAACTTAAATAAACATGTAAGATCGTTTTAAATAATTTAAAGCTGTTCTCAGATATTCATAAAGAACAACTTTCACGCGCAGAAGTATGCATAATGTCTACTTTCCTTTTGACGTGGTATCAAATATTCATAACTCCAACGCGTGAGGTAAGTTTGTTTATACTTTTTATGTAATATTTAACGAACAAATTTATTATGGCAAAATACGAACGCTAAAATGCAACGTACTAATTTTTAACACTTATTTACGGATGTGAGGACAACCTATATATAAATAAGTAAGCCGACTTATACTTAACCATATTGAATCTCATAAAGCCAACAATAAAAATTTTGTGACGTCCCTAAAATTATTTTTGCAAATACATGCCAATTTAAAATTCCTTTTAAAAGACAGGATTAGATGGAAGAAAACTTAAAATTATTTTTTATATGGTGTTGCGTGTAAAAAGTACCTTTTTACGAATAGTATGTAGTTTAAATATTGTCTGTAATTTACATATAATAATAAAAAAAGGCAGTTTCCTCAGTCTTAGTCTCCCCATGGCCACGGCTGCTGCAAAGCATCCGAAACATCGGGCCGAAGTTGAAAATAATTTTCAAATAAGTTTAACTATATATATCGCGTTTTAAACCATTAAAGTGTTTTATTAAAGTATGTAGTTTATATTCCGCGTTTTGATCATTCTAAATATTCAAATAATAATATCAATTCAAATTCCCAAATAAATAATTGAATAACGATAATGATATTGTGACGTATTTCACTATCACAACAACACCGTCAGTGTAACTAGAGTACTCTTATGTGTCGAGTGTCCAAACAAGTTGAGACACATCTAACTTGTCTAACGAACAGAAATACTTCCCATCTAGAATACACAATATTAACTAGTACTTACAATTTATCCCAACTATGTGATCAGTTAAAAAATAAATTGATTCTTGAGAAACAAACAAACAATTCAATTTTAAATGTAAATATTAACATTGATTCTTGAGTAAAGGTGCTTCTACTAATTAAAAAACAATTGTCTGCCAATTAAACCAGTGATATTAAATATTAAGTCAGTTTAGATTAGAATATAAACCAAACACCTAGGTTTGTTTTTACATTTAAATATATTGCCATAAGACTTAGATAATGAAAATCCTTTGACGAGGACATCACTGCTTTTCATTAAACCATTTTAATACAAAATATGATGTCGAGATGATGAGTATTATGAAAAAATAACCTTATCTTATCAGTGCGTGTAAATTATTTAGAATCGTGAAAGCGGTGTCTTTGATTTATGTAGTTAATTCAATGATACACAACGAGAGATATGAAATTAATGTAAAATTGTCAATTTTCTTTAAACGCTGAAGTTACTAAGATCTATTTGAAATACACGAAGATATTCGACAGTAACTTATTTTAATTAAACACTTAAACTTTAAATTATTTTAACTAATATAGATTGCGTTTCAAACCGTCAAGTGTTTTATTTAAACGTGTACTACTCATGTAAACTACAGACAATATTTAATAACTCTATATTAAACTTATTTATTGCAAAACTCTTGAACTAGCCAGAAAATTGCCGAGCTCTACGATCTTCTTTTTCCCTGATACAATCTAATAAGAAATAATCAACGCACCTTAAGCCACTTCCGCCTGGTTTCCGTCAAGAAGTCGGACAGCACCATCACTGTATCGTATTTGCGAGTTCACAACAATAAACAAACGTCCGTTCCCTGTGAGGTCTCGCGAGGGAGTGAGGATGCTCCCCCGCGTCACGACTAGGCAATGCTGCGTCAAGGGCGACTGAGCTTTTAACGCTTACGTAGCAGATGGCACGTAAAAGCTCGTAGTATACGTGTGGGAAAATTCGTGCAATTATTTTTTGAGGAAACCCACAACAGCAGAGATGCGAATGCGTTGCCGATCTTTCAGATATGTGTGTATGCGTAAATCTTGGCATATGTGTTATAGTTTGAAATTTTTAATATTTTTTACATCTTGTTTCGCATGATTGCAGTGTACAAATGAAAAATTGATTATAAATAGAAAAAAAAAATACGACTCGGACAGGACTTGAACCGGCATCCACAGCGTGCTGTGGCTCTAACTCGACTCTCATTAGACTCGGTAGCTCAATTGGTTAGAGCAACATCACGGAACGCTGTGGTTGCCGGTTCAAGCCCGCCCCGAGTCGTAATTTTTTTCAATTTATAATCGCTTTTTAATTTGTGTGTAATAGATTAGTGGTAGGTACATATTTCACTACTATACTTCAATAAAGTATCCATAAAAATAGATTTACAGCAGAACCCAATATATATGTATACCCAATGTATACAGCAATATATTGGGTTCTGCTGTAAATCGATTTATAATAAAATATCTGAAATCTCGTAATTACTCATACAATTAATATGTATTAATGTATACTATATTAATTATAATTGTGCGTAATTATAGGTGCAAGTGTGGTAAATGTATTGAAAAAAATTCGACGAAGAGGTGTAGGACTCGGCAGCTCAATTGGTCAAAAGAGCAACAACACAGAACGCTGACGATGCCGGTTCAAGTCCTGCCCGAGGCGAAAAATTTTTCAATTTATTTTCGATTTTTAAATTATATAGCCCTTAAATAAATAAATACTATCGTAGTGTCCCCATGAAAATTAAAAGGGGGTTTTCGAAAGCGCATAACAAACTATCTTACATCAGACCCAATAACATAAACATTTGGACACTGAAAACACCGTAAAACATAAAAACATTGCATTTCAACCGTCTCATTACGGAAACGTAAATATTGTAAAAATAACTAGGTCTGTGGTTCGTCTCGACACGTGTCTACAAACGTCACAACTCCGTACATACAAAACAGGTGCGACGCCGGCGTAAGGGCGCCGGTAAGGAACTGCAGTGCATACAGAATTGCAACAACCGTCACTCGACTGGTATGGGCATAAACAATTGTTTCAACATCTACAGCAAACTTAGTAAATAACTGTTATACAGTTCTTTGTATTATGTTGTTACTAATTGCGTAAATTTTTCATTGTCTTCAACGAAGCCAAAATTAATGGTATTTTTTGCAATATGTATATTCAAGTAGTATCAATGTTTCGCTGGAACCCTAAATATAAACTGATTTAGATGAAAAAAAAAATTAATTACAAAAAAAAATTGAATTTCTCAAAAGATGTAAAATGTTCATTTACAAAATGACCTGTATGTGATAAAATAAAAAATAAAATATACTTTACTCTCTATAAATTTTCAAAAAATATTAAGATTCGTCAAAAAAATTTAAATAATATGTTTGTATAAATGTAATGAATGTATGTTTGTCAAAAGAACAACATAATGGAGAAGAACAACCAAGAAACTCAGTCTGGCTATTTTCAACATGTCTTACAAATTAATACATTTTTGTGAATAACATTTTCCACATTCCCCCTATAATATAATTTACCCCATGAAGCTACATTCTGTTTATCACGTAATATGTTCTTACGCAATAATATAGTACATGTATGTCATAGTATAATGTATTAATACTTCCTCGAGGTAACTGAATTCAATAATTAAAGACTAAAATGACTATACAGTTTTAGAAAATATTTCTGACATTAGTAAGCAAGGTTTAGCTGGTATGAAGCATAATAAACAAATCAATACTTTAAATATATTATGTACGACAAAATATATATTTTATTCGTATAATACGTTCTGGTTGTATATTTTTTTTCTTTAGTGGCTACAAAATAATCAAAAATGATTATTTTTTTACAAGATTACAATTTTGAGAGAAAAAATATCTCTGTCCCAACCCAAATTAGAGGGACAGGTGAACTTATTCGGAACTGATCAGCTCCATCTAGTCAACCTCATGCTTATCTGTCCTTAAAAAAAACAAATATTTTTTTTATGTTACAACATTCGATAAAAACAATTCTACGTGAATATTGAAATATTGTAATATCATGTAAAACATGTTTAGGTACAATATAAGCCCTTCTTGGTGAAAGGTAAAACTTACACAATATAATAAAACATCGCCACTTGGCTTGCTATTAAATACCACATAAAGGTAATGGTTACCAGGAAAATGCTGAAATTCTTGACCCAATTATAAGGGGAAATTGTACCCCAATAGTAATTAAGATATAGGCATCTCGTACGTTATTAGAAGTAAAACAAAAAGATGAGAGATCTTAGGTTACTCAAAATGGCCCAGTTAAATAAGTACATTCATTAAAATAATATTTAGATTGAAATAAATTTACGCCAAGGCTGTAAAGTAACACATTTATTTATATGTTCTTTATTGCACAAAAAATAAAAATATTACAAATTAAACCTATATACTAGGATGGAGGGCAATGGGCGGCCTTATCGCGAACAAGCGATCTCTTCCAGGCTACCTAAAGTTATGAAATGTTAAGAAAATGAGAACTAATATACTACCGAACCGTACCAATTGTCAATTGTTTAGAACGGCAGCATCGAACGCTGTTTAAGCCGCTTCAATTCCTGCCAGAGTCGTAATTTTTTTGCAATCTAAATAGATTTTTAAATTATATAGTTCCATCTTATGCAACATGTAAAAAGCATGTGAAAATACTAAAATTTTCAAAATTTTTACATTTTCGACTATTACTGTTGTTTGAAAACTTGATTATTTGTACATATGATTGCATATAAAGGCACATAATTATATAATTTAAAAATCGTAATAAATTGAAAAATTTTCGACTCGACCAGGTCTTGAACCGGCTCGTCAGCGTTTAACAGGCAACAGCAAGGAACGAAAATTTTTCAATTTATTTTCGATTTTTATATTACTTTTGTTTTTTGGAGGATAACCTAATTATAATAAATTTAATTCGTTGTGGTGTAATGGCTGTAGTTTTTGAAGTCTGCCTTCCTGCTGTGGTACTACGTGGTAAGGTAAGCTCTAAAGTCTAAAACAACCTTAACCGATGGGAGACATTAGTCCCAACATTAGGACATTACGGTAGAACAATATTAGCCAATAGGTATAGATGTAGTTATGAATAGTCCGGACCTCAACATGTTTACGCTGAGATAAGTGTAGAGTTCCTTGAAGATAAGTAGTCCCCTGTCTATCAATGGTTGTGGCGGTCACAGACTGTCACCGGTCACGAAATTATCCACGTGTTTCTGGCACAGACTAAAAATATATAGATGTGATAATAATGTATAATTTTAATATAAGTTTTATCGTATCTCTGTATTAATTAAATAATATTTTTTACAATTATCTTTAAGTAATATCTATTGTATATCAATAATACCAGTTCGTTGAAACTAATATCAATCAAGCTGTCATTTAAAGGAAATTAAAACTTTTTTAGTTATATTTATTTTATTATTAATTAAATAAATTTAACTCCGGTTAAGAGTCTTTAGAATGTTTTTGCGTTTACGGTGCATTAAATAATTAACAAAAAATAACCGACAAACAGTAAATTAAAAATAAAAAAAATATGTCACTGAGAGTAACACGTATTCGGATTTAGAAATATAAGATTAATTATTTAATTTTGAAATCAGTTACTTTCTATTTTTTCCAACGAAAAATTATCTGCGAACAAATACAAAAGCATACTCGTATGTAAGTATATACGATGAAAACCTATTTTTTTTAATTGCGTTAGAAAAATTCACACCATTAATTATAATTTATTTCAAATAAATATTTAGATCAAATACAGAAGCACAATAGAAGAATATTTTGTATTTATCTATGTATATAACTAGCTGTAACTATGCAATTGAAACAACACGGACAACGAGTTGTGTCAGATTCACGCCGAATGCCACGTGCAATTTAATAAGTGGCAATTTAAATAAAACACTTTCAACGGTTTAAAACACAAAAGCATAATATACTTATTTACATACTCGCTGAAACTACATAGTACTCAATCATCTACATATAAAAAGAAAAATAGTGGTATTTCATATTCCCATATGGAGCATAGGTCATACACATTTCTGTCTAAATGTTCAAACTTCTGTGTCCAGACTAACCGAAACTATTTATTACGTTTTCGTCGGACTCGAAGCTAGGACAATTATGATTAATACAATACTCAACGGAGGAGGAAAAAAAAATAATGTTACAGACAAATTGAGATTAGGTTATTAATATCTCTCCCTTATAATAATTGATTTTGCTTGCTGTGTTCGCCTATAATTGTTCTTCACAACCTGCATCCCCTTAAACTTGTATCTCAGCTTAAGTTGTAAAAATGTTGGTGAATCCAAAAAATAAATATTGGCAGTATATCTAAATACCTTTAGATGTACGGTAGTAATAAAGTATGGACAGTCTAAGTGAAGTGGGTGGTGTCAAGTTACTGTAGACTGAGGATGGGCAGGGCGTATCTTTGTTAGTTTAACCGTCAGATTTCTTTGAACTTTTGTATACGAAAATGATCATGTTAGATATATAAAAAGTTTTTAAATCTCAAAAAACTGTTATTATTTTAATAGCAGTTTTAAGATACAGTGTGTCGAGCTTGCTTCTGTGAGTGTCTGTGTTTCAGTGTCCTGGTGAAGGTATTCTATAAGTGCGACACCTAATAATTACAATAAAACAATAAGTGTGCATACAAAGTAAGTTTAAATATAGCTTTCAGCGGAATTACGTGGGAAACGCTTAG